GTGAATATATCTTCCAGCAAAGTTGTATTCTTTGTCCAGGTGTACAGATGACTTAAAGAATACTCACAGCTAGGTGGATGGGTTCTTAAACATGCATCTTAGCCTATGCATGTGTGAAGAGGATTAACATGTATTTTTCAGACATTTGGACCAGCCAAGCGTAACTGAAAGCAGTAATCTAGACCCTTGTTTCCCTTTTCTGAGAAAAAAAAGCTACAATTACTTATGCTGTACTTGTCCTTCTTTGCTCATTACAGGCTTATTCCACCAACTTCTTCTTTTAGTGTGCAAGCTAGCATGCTTGTGCATGTTGTAAGAGGTTTCCATCCGATGAACTCATTATTCCACAGTGCTCACCCCACTCAATGACACACTCCACATCTTCCACAGACTGTCACATCCGAGCAAATTCATGCAATCGTGCCCACTATCCTTTAGACTGGAGATAATGCAGGCATGGTGAAGTGCGGCTGAATCTTAACCACGAGTGGAACCTAGAATTTAGTCAAGACGCTGAGGGGAAAATTGACCTGTTCCATTTTAGTTGAGAGGTTCAGTATGTGCATGTTTTTTCAATGTGTTGAAGCACACGTTTGTGGCAAAATTTTCATTTGAGACACATTGGAACTTAATTCCAAATGTATGGTAGGGTCCCAAACTAGTGCTGCACGATTAATCATATCGTCGCAATCGTAATCGCGATGTCAAGCCTATGCGATTATATGATGCAAAATACTGCGATTTTATATGAAATAAACAAATTAGGGCTGTTAACGCAGCATCTGTTATTTTTTGTCATCCTTTGGCTAGTGTTACATGATCCCGCTCTTATTCATGCGAAACCATTCCACGAGACAAGTCAAAAGAGAGCGCGCTGCCTGTGAATGTCCTGACTGAAAGACGCGCGCCAGTATCATGCGCATGCACAGACTGCGCGCCAGAATAGGCCATGAGACGGGACCCCAAATTTGGGCTACCGGTACCATTTTAAGGGGTTACATTTCTTTTTGATTTTCATGAAGGTACACAGCTCTAGTGTTGGAAAATGTGTGATAGCATCCGATCCATGGTAGCTTTCATTAGAAATCAACACTTATATCATCCTACCTCAAGGTAAGGTGTTCAGTGACTAGAAGAGAGAAAAATGTATCCTTTTATAATTTAAAAAATTTATTAAAAAAATATATATAATTTTTTTATTATAAAAATGTATAAAAATGTATAAAATGTATAAAAAATATATAAAATTTATAAAAATTGTATAAAATTTAAAATTTATTTAAAGATAAATTCATTTATCCTTTTTATTGACATATGTTTGAAAATCGTCCTCCGTAACCAAAAACTACCTTGAATCTAATGCTATCACAAATTTTTCAAATATAGGGTCATATACCTACACAAAAATCACCATGCGGTTTAATCCCTCAAAATGGTACCAATCAACCCTCTGTCTCACGGCCTAAAAGGGAACAGAGACAAACACTCACTGCTCTTGACCAAAGAACTTGTGTAGCTTTAAATAGGATTTTAGTCCATATAATTTATGCAGCGCAGACTGTTTGATAACTTTATTCAATTTCTGTATATGTCCTACCTGTTAGACAGGAAGAGCACAGGTAAATATGACATTTATTATGGGTTTATGTGAGGATTGTTTGAAGTTCACTTAAATTAAAATTACATTTTAATTTTGCTAGTTGTTAGTTTGAGTTGAGAAATACACATTTCAGAATTATCACTAATCTGTGTGTGCATTTTGCTTTAGAACCAAGTTGACTCATAAAAACCATTTGTTTATTATATCGCAATCGCATATCGCAATATGACATTTTCCCCAAATCGTGCAGCCCTATCCCAAACCCTTTCCCTAAAGAGTTAATAAATAAATAAACATTATATTTGAAAAAAAAAAAGGTTAATTATTACATAACTTCCACGTTCAAGACTAAAAACAACACAAAATTTACAAAAAAAAAAATTTCAGGGACATTTTAAACATGTCCATGATATGCACAGGAACATGCTAAGAAAATTTAGCAGGTAAAATATATTGTAGTTATTAATACTAACACACTACATTATTTCATTAATCAACCCCTAAAGGAGAATAGGAGGATCACCAAGAGAGCTGGCAAATTTCAAACAACTGCTTCCATGGACCAACTTTTGGAAAATTAATATACTGACGGGCCTGTGTGGGGCAATTCTTATTTCTAAGCTAGAGGGAAAATTAAGAGATGAAACCTGTCATCGGGATGATTCCACTCTGAAAAAGGACAAGATGGTTGGTGTTGGGGGTATCTGTTCAAGGGGGTGGGACTTTGGCGGGTAGAAGATCAAAGCGACTAAAGCTGATTTATCCTGTGTTAGGGCTCAAATGCCTCTGAGAGGCATTGAACAGGCCTTCAAAAAGCAATAGCAGCCACCTTTATATCCAGCCTGTGCCAGTCATCAGGCTTGCCTGTGAAGCAAAATCAATCTGTTTCATATAAGAGATACCAGGGGAGAAGGAGAGAGAGTGTGTATGTGAGTGTACAATCTGTCCCCAAAGCTCTTTTTAATGACACATGCTGCATAACAGAGCAAGGATAGAAAAGTGTTCAATAAGGCAAACATGCTGTTATCGGGAGATGAGGACTAATATAAAAAGGCTCAGATGATACAGAGGGAGTTGTCAGTCAAACATGCTTTAATTTCTATTTTCAAATTCCCTTCCTTTTCTGCTCAGCATGGACACACTTACTTGGGCAGAAGTCCTTCAAATTCTCGCTAACAAAAATGGTAAAAGAACCACCCAAGCTATGTTGTTGACAATGGTTACAAGCACTTAAGAGGCCCTCATAAATTAAAAAATTCACATTTCATCAGGCAGCACACTGTTCTTTTAATAATAACACATCACAATATTAATTTAACTAGGCAGCATGTCAATCAGGTGACCCAACCAGGAGATTCTTTCTAATCCATGACCGCATGCAGATTGAAATGATTAAAGAAATGCATCTAGAAGAACTATTTAATCACATTAGCTCTATAGACTTAATAACCAGTGACAGAAAGCCCTTGTGGAGAAGGTTTCTAGAGGTTTAGAAGATCTCTTCCTTTGTTTTTCTTTGAACAGGTGTGGTGACCTTTCAACCACTTAATGAGATTATGAGAGTAATTAGAACTGAAGCCACCGAGGGTCCCAACAGTCAACCCGCTTGAACTCGAGAGAATAACCAGTGTCCATCTGGGTGCCACCTCGGAATTAGAGTAAGAAACGTAATTAAGTCCTAATGCATGGATCCTCAACTACCCTAGGGACTGGAGGACGTGTCCATGACAAAAGTAGCATTAGCGTACATAGCGTACACTGCCTAAAGCAATACCAAGTCTGTCAATGCAGGACACACTCTAGGATTTGGGGTTGGGGAAGAAATCCCCTGCAACTATTAAAGTCACAATGGTGTTGGATTGCTCCTGTGGTGCTACTCTGAGCTGTTCATTTAGGATGATGTGCAACTATTGGGCCTGACCTAAGCACACTCTTCATCTCCAACATGGCCACCGAGAGGAAGGCAATAAGGGACCCAAGGAAACCCAATGGGCGCCTAGGGAGCGCTAAGGCTGGCCACTCACAGGGAAGCCCAAAGACAGCAAAGTGTCAGAGTCAATGCGAACACACACCTCTACAATGGCAAAATCAATGAGGCTTTATGAGGCATAAATCTCCTCTACAGAGGCCTGCTTGTCTACTGCTGCGATGGACCATTTGGATGTGGGACTTTGACATTCGCCATTTTCCAAAAATAGCTGGGGAAGGCTTTTTGGGATTTTGTTGACCCATCCCTGATGGTTTATCTGATTCCCTTACAGATTCTTTAATCTGCCGTGTGGTCAAATTGGGAGAATTTTTTTTGTTACTTAGGGTCATTGATTTTTTTAACGTCCTTTGGAATGACAAAATAATGTACTCTTAGTTGTCTGTTTAGATCAGGAATGGACAATTCTGCTCTTGGAGGGACACTGTTCCACAGATTTTAGTTCCAAATCTAATCAAACACACCTAATTTCCCAGCAATCCTCAAGACTTTGTTCAGGCGTGTTTGATTAGGGTTGGAAATTAAATATGTGGACCAGAGTTGCAGATCCCTGGTTTAGACCATTAAAAGAATCACAAGATTGACAATCATTCCCTAGAAAAATACCTATTTGGCTCTATTTTACACCTTTTCAAGTACAATAAATCCTCCACCATGTTTGTGTGGGTGATTTCAATAGACGGATCTATTTACAGTAAACAGCAGATCACATGCTAGAGACTCAGAACCAAGGTACTTGGCAAGTGTCCTGCAATATAATTGATTGTTAGGCAAGTTGTGCTTCCTCGGCCAACCTTACTCCACCTCCCCTCCTCCCTCCCCAACATCCATCTCTATGGCATTTACACCTTTTGTTTACAATACGCCCCTTGATTTGACCAGACATCAAATTGGGGGTTTGGGGCTCAGGGCTCCCGTTCCAATATCTAAGCTAATTACTTTTTAATTTACAGTGTGTCGTTAATGGTCTTGGCAGGGGAAGCAAGGTTAGACAGGCAGCAGAAGCCACTTCCCTTCCATTCACCAGCACCATGGCCTCCTTAATTAAAATGAATAATCTAGGCATCCATCAGTTAGATGGAGAGAGAGAGAAAAACAATTGTGAAGATAGGAAGGTAGGTAAAACCCCTGCTGAAAAGAGCAGCTTAGGCTAGCACCAATTTCAATGAATTGTTATGGTGGTTTAGCTGGTGGATTTTATCTCAACCATCCCGACTTTTACTGAAAATAATTGAACGAAAAAGTCTAGAAGCCTGGTGGGGAAATCAGTACACCAGGATCTCGTTAGGTAACAGCATTCAAAACAAAACCAATGCTGGCCAGTTTTGATGGTCTTTTCAGCAAGGAGAAAGGCGAATAAAGAAGAAATGTTACAAAAGTAGTTACAAAAGCTACAAAGAACAAGACAACTACCTCCACGGCTCTCGCTGTCAGCTGGCTTCACCTGGATGGGGCGAGTCATCTGGAAGAAGAAAAACAGTACAGACAAGACAAGGGGTTAGTTCAGGCACAGGAAACTGTTGTCACCGCAATAAGCCTGCAGCCTGTTGAGCTTATGTCCAACACAAAACAATCCTGTCTAAATTTTGATCAAATGCAAATATCCATATGTCAGTTTGCAGGGTACTCATTGTCCCTTAAACATACAAAATACAAGAGTGGTGATTTGTATCAGCATGCCTTCAGTTGCCTTGCACCCTATTTCTATTTTTGACGTGCTGCACAGTTCTAGACACTTTATTTTATCCATCTGAAATAAATACATTTACAAATGTCATGTGTGTGCATTGATTGCTATTTTATTCATGCCTTTAAAATGACTTCCGATCATTATGTCAGTGCCAGGTTCCATGCGCACCTCGAGTCAAAATCCTATAGCATGTTTGATTTATATTGCCTGGTCCACTCAGTGGTCATTAGGGTTGGGTACCTTTAATGGCACCGACCGAATTTCGCCGGTACTACCGAGTACCGATTCACATTAAATCAATCGGTGCCAAATTTCGGTACCTGAGAACGCAACGCATGACGCTCGCAGTGTTTTTCAGCCTCTGCAGTCTCACTATATGAGAACATGAATGCATTTCCAGAGCTGCTCTGAGAGTCACTGAAGTTCATTTTACATTTTACAGTTTCATTTAAGAAAAACTATCGTTATATCATTTACACATGGAAACTCAAAGGTCTTTTACAACAACCCGTCAAAATAAAAGTTCGTTATACTACATTACTAGCCTGGATGCCAGCCCGAACCCCGCCCACAACATTTTTTGGTCGGGAAGTTCGGTCTGGACTCGATCCATTGAAGAATAATTATGATCGGTTCAGAATTAGTCGGGCCAATCAAATTGCCAGGGCGGGCTTAATACGATGATGGACAGATGATCTGCAGTTACATAATCATCACGTTATCAAAGAGCGCTTGGGTTGAACTGGTTTCCCTCAAAGGTGACTGCAGCAGCTGGAGAATTGAGATGTATAGATCCGCTATCGCGTCTGTTGTAAAATAAATCGACAGCGCATTCATTTTAAAAGACGAACAGAGAACTGCAATCAAGGCATTTGTCGATCGGAAAGATGTGTTTTCCGTCCTTCCTACGGGATTTGGCAAAAGTTTATTTTATCAGCTGGCTCCGAAGGTCGCTAAGAAGATGGGACGTAGTGAAAACCCTGTGGTCGTTGTGGTTTCTCCTTTGGTCGCACTCATGGAGGACCAAGTAAAAGAAGCAACACTCATTATTTTACTACTTCTTCCAGCGTGCGTGTAGTTGAGTTCTGTTGTTGACAACTTTGCGTAGCTCATAAACAAAACAATTACTGCGTTGCTCTGATTGGTTGTAGGTCTATCCAATTGAGTGCAGAGTTGTTGTTTTTTTCTGGTTCGGTTAAGACACGCCTCATAATCAAAGCCCTATGGAGCAGTATCAGACTCACATTCTGACTAGAATATGAGTATGACGATGTCAGGCTACTACATTACTGTTGTACAGCACAATTTAGATTTCTCAATTTAATTATAATACTAACACTAATAATAATAGATTATTATAAAAAAAGAAGAAGAATTTTTAAGGAATAATCACAGATTTTCTTCTATGTTGTAATTGTAACAGTAGGCTATAAAGCTCAATTGTGCCGCATGTAAAAGATAAATGAAATTAATGTTTTATGTCTTCATTTGATTACTAGAAAATTCACAACACAGATTTATTTTTATTTTTTTACTAAAATTGTTGTTTTTATTAATATTCAAGCATCACAGACAATGGAAGACAGTGACCAAGGAAGCTCAGGCATAATGTCAATAACACTTCTACAAATGACTCTGTACAGTTATTAAGGTAAACATGCCTAAAGTCCAGAAAAAAAGTACCTTTGGGTACCGGCACCGAATTTCAGGTCAAAATGTGAACGGTACCCAACCCTAGTGGTCATATTGCTAATACCCCGGACAACTACTATACAGCCCCTCATCTACTTATAAAAAGGCTGAAATCTCAAATTTTTCGGCAAAAAATTGCCGAAAAGTTTTATTGACATTTCAAATCAGGAATAAAATACACCAACTCAAACATAAAATAAGATTTTTTTTTAATCTCAAAGTCCATTTACTCCTCTAAAAAAGTCTCTAGTCTGATCAGCAAGTTGTTTTATGTTTGCTTTGCCATGCTCGCTTGGTTACAGTGTCTAGCACGGAGAAAGTGAAATGCAACAACAATTAAAGTGGAGGCAGCCACAAGAGAGAGAGAGATCAATGAAGCCCTATTGATCCCTGCCCCTTAGGCTGTGGAGAGTGTCTGGAAAGGAGGGATTCTGTGGGTAGAAGGCTCACAGTAATCTACTAAAGCCTGATAAGAATGGCATTTGTTGGATTAGATGCCTCTGTCATCACAGTTTTTGTGCTCCGTATTTTGCTCGACAATTTTTTTCCCCATTATCCCTGCAAAGGTTGAAGCTTTCTCGACTGGTTCTTATTCTACAAACTTGAGCCAAACAGAAAGAATATATATATATATATTTTTGTTTGTTTATTTGTTTTTTTCCATCTTCTGCCCGTCGTTCAAGGATTCAAAAGGATTTCGCTGCAGGATCAAAGGATGTTCAAAAGGTTTTTCTGTGCTCCCATTTATTCTTACCTGGGGATGTCATGTAGAACGGAGTACTGTAAGTGCAGACTGTTTGATTATTGGAGCAGCACAGCAACTTACAAAGCGATTTGAGTATATATATATATATATATATATATATATATGTATATATATATACGCAATTAATTAATCGCACATTTTTCTGTAATTAATCGCAATTATCACACCAAACATTAAAAGTATTTTATATTGTAATAATTTCACATTTAAACTCCAAATTAATGTAGAAACAACGTAAAGACAGTAGCCTATATTTTAAATATTTGTTTAATAGCATATTTTTATGAATCAAGGCTGATGTCTCTGATGTCTCTATGAGATAGATTTTTTTCCCTCAATTTTAGCCATTAATTATACTATAGTCATTCAGCATTACAGTATAATTGAAAGCTATAGATTTTAACATTTATAAGGCTTTAAAAAATATAACAACTTTTAATGTAACATAAACCCACATAAACCCATTATAATAATTGTCACATTTACCTGCGCCCTTCAATACATCAGATTTTTAGATAGGTCCAACAGGTAGGATATATACAGAAATTGAATAAATTTATCAAACACTTCACAGTCTTCACTGCATAAATTGTGAATTAAATATAGATTAAACCTTATTAAAGCTATAAAAGTTATTCAGTCAAAAACAGCGAGTGATTTTATTTGTCTTTTGTTCTTTGATTAACATTAATGACATCACAGCAGCAGGTTTATTAGGCTGCTGTCACTTTAAGACCTGACGTATATCACGCGGATCTGATACACATTTTCTCACAACTCTTTACGACTTTTTTTAAGACTGTGCTTGCAGGGATAGGGCAGTTTGACATATTGTATGCGTTTTTGTCGGTTCAAGCGATGTCTTAAGCGTCTTTATGTGCACACGAGTCGTGTGTGTATCACACAGACAGGAGATTCACAGACATGCACCAGTACCGCACTGTGTTCTCTTTTGTGTCTTGTAGACCGTGAATGGTTTAAAAGCATTTGCATTGATACGGGTTTAATTATTATTAAAAAAAAACCTGTTTAGATGCTAAAAGATCCATCCTAACATCTATATCAGGGTTTATTTAGTGATATCACTGGTTTGAAAGTATATTAACCCATATATTACCAGTAATAAAAATAATAATCATAAAAGCTGATAGTGAAGTTAAGTTACATCCGAGAGAACTTTCTTTAATTGTAGAAAAACAGGACAGATCTTATCCTAAAGGCCTACTTTACACTATAACATCCATTCCCCAGCATCGTAATCCAATGGGAGCTTTCTATCGATCCAAAACAAACTGCTAATAGCAACACAGCAGGCCCAGTTTGGATGAAAAAGGGCCAAGAGCTGTGCAGAGATTTGCGACAAGATTACCCAAATTTGCAAAGCGCCCTTTGCAGGCTCCCCAACCATCTGTAACCTGAAATTAAGCCTTTATGAATGCTGCCGCAACTTTCGTCTCATGCAGACGCCAATTCAAAGGCCTGGGAAACGTTTAAAAGATGACAGGATCAACATTTTGCCTTTCTCCTCAACATATTTTCTTTTACTGTCCAACCGAAAAAAGGTCAGTTTTAAAGACAGGCCAGTCCCATAAAAGCATGACTTGTTCAAGGAGAAACACCATAATGGGATTTTAAAAAGCCTTAATAACATGCTGATATATGAGGAAGAGAGCCAGGCCAGATTCATTAAGTGTTAAACGTATCCATTTTCACCTTGAGGAACTGAATAACCTTCCTCTGAGAAATTATTCCATAAATTTATCCATCGTAAATAATAACTAGCATGGTCTAACTCTTTGTGCGAAGGGGAAAAGGCGAAAGATGTAATTCTTCTGAAGGTCGGAGTTCAGTAGCTTTGTCTTACACTCCGGTGAAAGAAAAAGTAAAAAAAAGGTCTATTTGAAATACAGTAATGCACTATGATGGTGTTGCACTGCAAGAGTTTTCTCCATTGCAAAGAACAGCATTTTTACTCAGATGATCTCAAGCGTAAAGACAAAAACAATCCAATAGACCTAACTGTGAGATATATCCATCTCAAACAAATCATTTGACAAACACAAACAGTTGCCCACATTAGCATTTATAGATACTTCGCAATATGCATGTAACACTGCGGACGCGACGTCTGGTAATAAAGGAGATTTGGTTTTGCAAGGGAACACATTCAGAACTACCTCATGTAAACTCCATCAGTGAGATGCATTTCTAACACGTTGGACTTTTGTGTAAGGTTTATGGATTCACCTCTCTAACTAGTCACTGTCCTGGTCATAAAATGCTGGTGTAATGGTCCATTTGTTTTCCTAAGAGC